ATGAGATGGTTAAAGTTATCAAAACTGCTCGATTGTTGCATTCAGCTATGAGGCTATTAACTTGGTGCTCCTTAGAAGGTGGAAGTCAACATTATAGTTCTGCGTTTGGAAAGAACTCCCAATATGTGCTTTTTCACTCACTTGTGATGTTTGGTTTTGTTGTTGCAGTTGGAGAAGGACTAGTGTAGGGCGGAACACTGATTCCCACTAAGTGTGCTTTCAGTATGTCTAGTAAATGCATTGACTGTGCAGCCCTCTGAAGGTGTCTGTTGTGGAAGAGTCATGAGATAGCTGCAGCTGGAAGGTAGCTCAAGTTACCTGATTGACCTCTTCACTAAGAGTAAGGGCTGTCTTGAATCAGGTTGCTTTGGATCCTGCCCCACCAAGTTTTAAGTGTCTCTTAGGATGGAGATTGGGCAAACTTTGGGTAGTTCTTTCAAAGTGAGGGTATTTAAAGATTGATACACTTTACAGAACTTCCCTTTATGTCACTTGTCTGTTGACTCACTGACTAGACAGAAAGAAGAGTCCAACTCCAACTGCCTGCTGGGGAGTACAGCAAAGGTAAAGACAGCTCTAAAATTTCCCTCTTACCTTCTCTTCCTAAGATTGTACGGACCCTCTGGTGCCCTTTGCTGGACTTGCTCCCCTATGGCAAATGAGTTATACAGGACAGCCACAAACTAAGTGTTGTACTCCAGTGGAATCTCAAAAGTACCAGAGGGGAATAAACACTTCACCAAACTCCTGGTTATGCTCTGTTTGAAACTGTTCAGTGTAGTTTGCCTTGATTGCAATAAGGGCTCACTGCTGACCTATGCTTAAATTACAGACCCTAGAGACCTGTTGTGCCAAACTGGAACCTAGCAAACTGGTCACCAGCCTCTGCTGATAACTTGGGGTCATGCCAGGTGCAGCACTTTGCATTTGCCTGGGTTGAACTTCAGTCCCTGTCAGCGATGTTCTGAGGCCTGTTGGATGTCTTTCTGAATGACAGCCCTACCCTCCAGTGTCAGCTGCTCTCCAGATTTTGTATGAGCTGTGGACTGGCAGAGAATATGCGTTTGTCCCATTATTCAGACAATTCATAAAGATGCTGAAAATATCAGCTCAGTGTTGACCCCTCAGAAGTGCTACTAGGAGACAGCTGCCAGTTGGTTTTTGCTAATTGGTCACAAGCCGCCTGAGCGTGGCAGTTGAGCTGATTTTTTTTTTTTCCCAGCTGCATTATTGTCCACTTTTCCATATTTTAACAATTTGGTTTTAAAGATACTGTGGGAGACTGTCAGAAACCTTGCTAAGTCTGACTATTCTAATGTCATCTGTAGTCTGTTATCTCATCACTGAAGGTAGTCAGGTTGATAAAATGTGACTTGTACTTGGCAAGTCCTGGCTGTTCCCAGTCACTTTTTTGTTTTTCAGGTGACTGGATATGGTTTCCAGGAGAACTTGTCCCATAGTCTTTCTGGGAACAGGTTATGTTGACTGGCCTCTAGTTCCTCAGGATCTCCTCCTCTTGGTTTTGAAAATGAGCATGGTGGTTTCTTCCAGTCACCAGGAACCTTTCTCCAGAGGCTGTGACCTTTCAGGCTTAGTATAGGTCTTGCGGTAACATCCATGGTCTCCATTGACACCCTTGGCTTCTGTTTGGTACCATGGATGCTAACATGATTGTCTTAACATCTCATCTGTTGTGTTGCTTCATGCCCCTTCCCTGTCCCTGACTCTGCCACTAGTCATAGGGACCAGGAAGGCCAGAGTGCAGACTTTAACACTAAAACTTGAGCCAAAGTTACTGAGTACTCTGGCCTCTTCAGTGTCGTCTGTTACTTGATGCCCTGTCCTGTTGAGCTGTTCTCAAACTTTCCTTGGTCTTCCCTTTGCTTTCAGTCTTATATTTTCCTCAGCAAGGTGAAGAAAACCAGATGGATGTTCGTGTCCTTCAGGTTGGCTCCCAGAGCCTTTTATTTACTCTGAATGTGGAGTGTGATTGGTGTCCGTGTGTGAGCAGCAAGTGGTGATAGTCTGAGGGCAAGCCTTGGCAGCTCCTCTGCAATATCCGGGATCCAAGTCCCTGTCAAGCACTAAACCTTGTGAGACATGAAGTCTGATTAGCAGCTGAAGGTGGCAAATGCTTAGATAGGATTTTAACAATGACAAGTGATAACTTGCTTTGTTTCCTTCCTCCTTTCCCATCTTGCCTGTTACATTAAAGATTAGTTATAGCTGGAAATCCTGTTTATTGAAAGGTTAGTCGGGACATCATGTTACTTCAATGTCATCACTAGTGTAGGAAGGAGATTAGCCTAGCTATGGAGTACAGTAATACCAGTTTCTGGAATCAGGAATACATTTTGTGTGATCTTGTCAGCTTACACGGAATCACAAAATAGGCTTTACTTTTCCTTGAGTTCCCTATGCTTCTTATGATAACAAGATCTCCTACAGGTACTTAACACCTGTGTTGCAGAACACCACCCAGAGTTCTTGCTTATCCTCTAAAATTTCACAATTCATTGTGTGCTAGATGAGCAAGCAGGAGGGTGGTTGCTGTAGTGAGCTCTGCAGGAGTATGTGCATGTTTCTGTGGTCCCCTTTTGGTTGTTGGAATCTTCACTTGGTACTTGCTGGGGATGATTTTCTTCTAAACTTGCCCGTGTTCTCAGTTTAGTGAAAGAATGCCCCAAAGTCATCAAAATGCAGACTCCTTGAAGAGCCCCATACACTTAGTTTCATATTCTATAGACTGACAGACTATCCAGGGGATGAGTGGATCTGTATGAGCTTGTCACTGGACACAGGCTTCAGTGGTGAAGTAATTCTCAAGTTTATTTTATGTAGTACACAAGTATGCTGTGGTATACTTGCAGCGGATGCACGTAATTGGGGAGTGAAGAGGGAAGAACCTTGTGTTAGCTATACTTCACTTTAATTTGGGATTGACAAAGTAGCATGTCTGATAGTATGGTTTCATAGTTACTTGAGGAGTCCTTTAAGAGACTTCTGAGACTACTGCTTATGACAGCTATGGATCAATGTAAATGAAACTTTCACTGCAAGAATGTAATTTTCCCCTCGTGAATCTTTTGCTGGAAATAAAGCTTCACTCCTTAGTGTGTAGATGCTTCACCCAGGAGTTAAATCCAAGTTCTCCTGTGCAGAGATTTATGGAGTGCGGTTTGCTACAGTATTAGAAAGGAAATAGTTATATCAAAACATCAAAGTTGGTCTGAAATTAGCATCTGATATTGAACATCAAAATCTAATTTATTAAAGGCTATCTACTCATTAATGGAAAGATGCCTTTTACTGTGAATTATTAGTGGGAAAGTCTTGGGTATTTTCATAGCAGTTTTACTTGGTTATAGAACATAACTCAGGAACTTGAAAAACATGTCTTGTGTGTTGCAATGTGGAGTGCAGTTTATTGCTGTCTTTTGACAGCCTGTGATACAAGGCTCTTTGGCTACTCTGGTATTCCCCGCGGTCATAGCATTAGCCCCATTTAATTCTGGTAATTCAGAACATGGAATTGATTCCAGTATATATAGAGAATACAATAGAGGCTATTGAAAGCAAACCTGAGGTTAATAATAATGTTAAAAGTGCTGCCAACTTAAAACACAGCTCATTAGAACTAGGGGACATTGTCACGTATCAAACTAATTCTTGAGCTTAAGATGTGTTGTGATTGATGTGAGAAGCATTTTTACTGAATATGTAACCAAAAATTGGCTACAGTTAGTTGGCTTCAATTTGTCAGCTTTAGGAAATTCTGTGTGGTGATATTTTGATTTTTTTTTTTTTTTTTTTTTTTTTTTAGTGCAAATCACCCTAGATCAGTTTTCCTGCTGGGGACATTGAAATCTGAATTCTGTTTCCAGTTGCTTTTTTTTCTGCATTAGACTCTAGACTTCTTTCCATGTGTAACATCTTTTTTTTTTTTTTTCCTCTTCCCTCCTTCACTCAGATTCCCACAGTTAAAAGAATAAAAAGGCCCTTTTACTCTGACTGTTGTGCTATGTATACAGGTTTAGTGGATGAACTTCAGCTGGAGACCTGTTCAGTGCGGAGGGTCTCTGGGTGAGCCTTCACAGCATCAAAACTGTCAGGATCAGAAATACCTGGATCTTAGAGTAAATGCGCTGGACATGGATTAGTTTCTAAGGAAATGGTGTATCTGTATCCAGTAGAATGATATTTTCATCTTCATAAAGGAAATTATTAACGATCCAGTTTGATCTAGATTGTGAGTGTTGTACAACAGTCTCTGCTGTGTATATTGTGCTCTGCTTCCTCCTTCTTAAGTTCCTTGAAACTTCTTACATCTCTAACTGCCAGGAAACCTGCATATTCATATGACCCCAGCCTCACCCTTTTGGTGGATGAGAGTCCTTTCTGAGCCTCTCCTGTTGCACTGCTCCTTATGTAGCTTAAGGATGTTTCCCTGCCACCCCCACTTTCCTCAGACTAGTGAGTGGCGACTTAATTCACTTCTCTGACAATTACTAGACTTGCTCATCTCACTAGTGTTAACACTAAATGTAAAATTTTACACTCTTGGACTTTTTCTTACTAATTTTGAAAACTATTTAGTCTTCACTCCAGTTTCTCAAATAGCATTAAATGCTTTGATACAAAATCATCCTTTGTCTTTTATACAATAATTTGTGAAATCTTATTTATACGCACGTGTATATGGACAAACATAAAAATTGCAGAAGAGTTACAACTGCAGAATAGGGTTTTTGAGTTAAGCCATTTCAGTTAACTTTCAGTACTTTGAAACTGAGAAGTTTTGCTGTAGGATTAGAGAAGTGAAAGGATGTTGTACTGTTAAAATCCCAATGCAAACATGTCAAAACAGTAAGACTTAGAAGAGTCGTGTGAAACTATTAGCATATAGCCAAACATTAGGACAGATAATGTAAAATTACATTGGTTTAATTCTTAGCAAAGACTTTTAATGACTTTCTAATTGTATGTTTTACTTTTCATAGGATTCACATGATGCTTTACTGGAATTTGGGAACAACAACCTCCAAATATTGGTGGATATCACAAGAGAAGGAGTATGGAAAAATCCAGTTCTTCTTAAAATTCTATCCCAGCAACCAGTAGAAACTGAGGAAGGTAAGAATGTTGTTTTAGAGATGATATGTGGTTATTAAGGAATTACTTGGTGCAGTTTTGGTAGGGAATCAGTGATTGGAAGATAGAAGAGAGTTGTGTCTTAAATTGCATTGGGTGATAGTATTTGTATGTTGCTGAACAATATTTATGATGAAACTGTCTCACTGGCACTCTCAATAATGTGTCCTTGCTAATGCATCTCTGCTTGGGTTATACTATCAATTGGTTTGAATATTTTGAAACTCCATCTTTAAAAAGAATTATTTATTTTTTCATCATAAAAATGTAGAAGTTTTGCTCCCTGCGATGGCTTGTTCTTCATACCTCTGTGTATTTTTTCCTGAATGCTTCACAGGGAGGAATTGTGTATGTCCACGCCTTTCAGAGGCATAAAAGATTCATGTGGAGCGGCGACATGAACGTGGAGGTTTCCTTTTATTAAACTCTGGACTGGGAAGCCCATTGTGTTTAGACTATGGATGAGGAAAAGGAGTTTTTAACGTCACTTTATATAATTTTTGAATATCATCTCTTAAACTCTTCTTGTACTCACTGAAATTATTTCGTATCTATTAGTGGTACCATTAAGTACTTACAGGTATTTCTTTTGACTGTTCCATAACAGTACATGAGACTGTGGTTTACATCAGTGATAATCTAAAGTTAAAAATAATATAGAGGGGAAGAAGAGCTTAAAATGTTTTCTTAAAAATTAAAGGAGCACAAACAGGGATTTTAAGTCAAGCTTTCTTCCATAGCAGAATCTTCCTTTCTGGCTTTGGGTAGCCTCTCTTTGAGTTGTGTTAAGTTAGTACTTTTTAATAAATAAATGAGAAACCCATTAAGGTTCTTAAGAGGATATGTTGCTTCCCTGTGCTAGAAAGCATTAAAAAAGAAGCAGCCAAGGGTGGACTGCAGTTTTTGTTAGCCTTCACTTCAGGTATTCAGTAGTATGGCAGAAACATTTGAACTCCAAACAGCATTTAATCCCATCTCCAACATGTCTTGAAATTGCATTCCATACTGAAGTCCTATCTTGGAGTTTTTCATTTATAGTATTGTTAGTCCATCCAGTTGCACAGTTGCTGCTCTTAGTGTGTTTCTACTCAAAATCTCTTGCATTTCAAAATTGGTCCATATTACTGAAAACCTTGAGCTATTGAAGAATCCCTTACTTGGGAGAGTGGTATACCAGTTATCTAATGGTTACCTAGCTTTGCAAATTCCCTTTACCTGTGGCAAGCCAAGAGCTGTTCTGGAGGACTGGTGTGAATTCCAGTAGGAACGATTTCCTCATATGTGTCTGTGTGGACTCCATTATAGATTAATTTACTTCTTGCATTACTGGTTTTATCAATGGCTGTGTTACTAAATGCTGCTACATTTCTTCATCCCTGTGTGAGTGGACCTTGACGTGGATCAGACTACCTCTTGACTTCAGCAGTAATTGGATAGAACTAGTTTGTTCCTTTGGCTTGTAATTTCGATTGAAATTTCTACTGACAAACTGACTGACACATCTCTGACTATGTTGAATTGGGCTGAGTGTAGGTTCCCACTTCTGAGGTCAGTTGCCCACCTTGAAACTATGGATTTCTTGGTGTTCTTTATTTAGTACATATTTGTCTGTTTAGCTAAATCTGAATACATGCTCAGAAGAGTTGTCCTCACTGGTGTTTCTTTCATGTGATGCAAGCAGAGGCAACAGGGCATTCGTTGGAGCTCTCCTGGAAATTCTGTAACTGCACAAGTGCATTCTCATATATTCTGGACTATTCCACAGATATGCCTAAACAGTCTGAATGTGACTTCGGAGTCCCTTGTTAGACCAGTCTGTCAAAGGCAGGTTTCTCAATTAAATCATAAAGTAAAGAGTTAAACATTTTAAATAAAGGGCAGTTCTAAGAAGCTGAATATCTGCCTTAAAATATCACTTCTTACAGAGTGTCTTGCTTTTGTGGCAGTGTTGAAAACCTTGGTTTGCTTTGGTTTTTTGCTTGCTTTCAGGATATCAAAGAGCAGATAAACTGAGAGAAGTGTCATCCTTGTGGCCTTTTGACCGTATACAACATAGCTGCTTAGACATATCTAAAAGATCTTTCTACAAGCTTTCCAAGCTAGCTGAATGTGTCATCTTAGCACCCAAGCAAGGTGTTTTAGATACTGGTTGAGTGCTTTCAACTGATAGTTCAGGGAACAGTAAGTAGTAGTAGAGCTCATGTGGTATCCGTTGACATGTAGAAAGACAGCGAGAGCACTACATGAGAGTGCTCTCCTGTTCCCGTTCTTCTGGTTAGCGGCAGATACTGTGAAAGTGGTAGATCAAAGTAGTAGCATTATTAGTAATGGAAATGGGAAAATAGCGAGAGAGGTAATGGGGTTATTTAATAGCTACAAATACTATAAAGTAATGCTTCAGTAGTTAAATAATTCAGTGCCCTTACATTACAGAGGATGGAGGGGTTTTTATTCGTTTGGGTTTGTTCTTGGTCCATTTGATAGAAATAGCAGGAATTAAAATGTGCTTTCTAGAAGTCACAGCAGGGCTGACAGTTCTGCTGTTAGGCATGTTGAGTAAGGGCTGCAGAAAATGCTCTAGCACAGGCTTTTCAGTTGTTTTAGTCAAACTGCCATTTTATCCTTCAGTACAACAACAGTTTCACAGAGTATCTTGTGAACTGTTCGTTGGAAATGGATGCTATTTCAGTCATCTGAAACTTAGTTTCTTTGAACAGGTTGTATTTTGTGCTTTTTGGCTTTTTATGGTGCGTGTCTGAAAAGTATTCCTAGTCTTTCCTGTTGTGGGCCACCGGTAAGCCAGATGTGAGAGTAACTCAGTGTGTCCAGCTGGAGCTTTTTGTGAACTGGTAGTTTGTGTTAATGATCACCAGATGCTTACTTGATTAGAAGATTCTGAAAATGTGACATGTTCTTGTCTCTTAACTTTTTATTAATGCACTGGCCCTGAAAAGGAGCTGATGTCAACTGTAAATATGACTTACCAAATTTATTGCATCAAAAGTTTCATAGCAGCTTATGTTCTGTCTGCTGTTTCTATGACTGTTAATAAATTAAACTGCTGTGAGTCTAGGGTAGTTGTTCCTGTTTTATACTGTCAGCTTGCTCAAGGTAGTTGTTTCAGGCATGAATATTTGTTTGAGGAAACGGCTGCAAAAAAATCATTGCTGCTTATGCCTTTTAGATGACAAAGTGATACGAGCATCCCAAAGTGAACATAATAGATGCTGTTCAGCAGTCTTGACCTGTGGCATTCTTCTATGCCTAATGAAGCTAGCATTAATACTCTTATTTGAAGATATTTATTTTTTTTTTGGCTTAGCAAATAGTATCATTCAGGAAGAACAAAGAGGTTAGGGTGAGCCTGTTGCTGTGTGCAGCAGATAAATACCAACATCTTGGTATGTCTGTTGACATGAGTTGATTTGTAGGAAAGCTGGGAGAGCTCTCCACCACGCTGCTATTGTAAAATACACAGACCTCAGTGTTGTTCAAGTGTACTTAACATACTTCACTGCACTTCAGCATATTGTTTTCTTGTTGCAGAGGTACTTTCACTGGAAATACTTGCCCAAGATGCTGTTTCTCTTGAACATTTCTCATAGTAACTACAGAGTTTTCATGCCTTAGTGCCATCCATGCTTTATAAAGACTGTATTCACAATATTGTGGTATAACTTTAAATTCATCGTACACTGCAGGTGTTTTGGGTGAGGGGGGAATCTCTTATCCTTACTTTTTGGTCCTGGGATAAGAGAGCCCTTTAGGTATGTGTAGAGTTTGAAACTGCACTGACGCTTTACTACTCTAAAGGGTTTGGAAGAGGGAAGGGTTGCGAGGTGTCATTGCATTGATTTTTATAGCAAGCTGTTTTAGTCCTGAGGTGCTTGGTAGAACACTGGGACAGAACAGGCAACAGCAGGAGGTCTAGGAAGAGAAGGAACAAGAAAATCTGTTCATAGACATGTTTGAAAACGTAACAGATTTAGGATTGAGTACAGAATTAGGTTCTCTGAGTGGATGTCCTGGTTTAACCCCAGCTGGCAACTGAGTACCACACAGCCACTCACTCACTCCTCCCTATGGTGGGATGGGGAGAATTGGAAAAAGGTAAAACCCATGGGCTGAGATAAGAACAGTTTAATAAGTGAAATTAAATATTATAGTCATAATAATGAAAAGGAAGATAACACAGAGAGAGGGATAAAACCCAAGAAAGACAAGTGATGCACAATACAATTGCCCACCACCTGCTGACTGATGCCCAGCCTATCCCCGAGCAGTGATCGGCGCCTCTCACCAACTTCCCCCAGTTTATGTACTGGGCATCATGTTTTACGGTATGGGATATCCTTTTGGCTAGTTTGGGTCAGCTGTGCTGGCTGTGCTCCCTCCCAGCTTCTTGTGTACCTCCTCCTGGCAGAGCATGGGAAACTGAAAAGTCCTTGACTTAGAGTAAGCACTACTTAGCAACAACTAAAACATCAGGGTGTTATCAACATTATTCTCATACTAAATCCAAAACACAGCACTGTACCTGCTATTAGGAAGAAAATTAACTGTAGCCCAGCCAAAACCAGGACAGGGAAAGCTACTGGTTCTGAGGAATAGGCAGCAAAATGAGGTTTTGTTCCCTTTTCAGGGAAAGGGAGGTTGTTGCAGCCAGGCTGTTGGAAAAGAATAGATGCTTCGGAGGAAAACTAAGTGCTAAGATAGATAGCTGACTAGTGATTTATTACTGACTTTTTCTTCTACCTTCATCAGTTACGTCTGCATGACAAAGGAGCTCAGTTTGTCATTTGCCTCCTTTACAGAGTTCAATACACACTTGCTTAGGCCCAGGGGCCAGGGGCACAGACCTTGCACCTTTGGGGGAGAAAAGGGCGCACATGCTTACTGGCCTCTCCCAAAGACTGCAACAAGTTGAGACCCTCTTGTCCACACCAGCAGTGAGTCCGCCTCCTGTAGTTCATGAGCAAGTTTCTCTCATTTGTGCTTAAAGATAGTGTGACTGTTAACATGAAAACATTGCGTTTGTCTGGCTGACTGCAGATGAGCTTAAAACATTTCCCATGTCTTGACTAGCTGGCTCTGACATGTAAGTAAAAACTTCATTTGAGTGATTGCTAAGTGCATGTCTAGCTATGTAGTAAGAAAACAAGAGGAATCTAAATCATTCTTAGAGCAAGTAAATAGGCTATCTTATTTTTTCCTAGTAGTTCTTTTATTCTTCTCATGGACTTGGAAAAAGTTTTTAATTATTCTGTGAGCCCAGAGCTGTAGAAGCAAGGACTACAGGACTGCTTTGAATGCTTGAGAGCACTAAAAACCATTACTGACATGCCCATGAATACTGTGCTTCACCTGGATAGATGACTTTGTTCTGATGTTGAGTAAGCAAGCCTTTCATAGAGTTCTTCCTTAACAGTGATCTCTTGGCCATCTTGTGGTAGCAGTCTGTTACATTAAATAGGATGGATATTGAAGCACTGTTGTTTTCCTCGATAAATTTTCAAGCACAGTGTCATATACAGATGTAATTTTTAAGAAAGAGAGGAGGCTTGTTTCCTAGCAACTGGAGATTTTACTGCAGACTGTCTCCTGGTCAGCCAGCTTTTTTTAACTTCTGTGTTGAAGTTACTTTAATGTGAAGTGTCAGTGACAGTTATGTCAAGATTTTACTGCTCAGAGGTTTTTTTCTTTGGAAAATGGAAACGAGTGCCATAGACTTGAATCTTAAAATGATCTCTAATGGGCGAGTAAGCACTTGTCTGCAGAATACTAGTAAGACTAACTACAAGCATGTAGTATGTACTTGGCCCCTGAAATGAGCTTTCTGTTTAGGTGCATGTTGTAAACCTTCTGCCAACTAGTGTAGTGTCTGTTAAAACATGTTCTTTTTCTGTTCAGACAATAATTTAAGTGCAGAAAGCATGGGAATTTTCTTGTTTTGTATTATGTACAATCCTTTCTTTCAGAAATTTATATACTATTGGTTTCTTAGGTACCCATCTCACACAGTAATAATAAGGTACTAACATAGTGAAAATATTTTTATGCAATGGCTTTTCCACTGAGTTACTACTGTAAAGCAAACTTTCTTTTTTAGCTAATCCAGAGTCTCTTGCAGGCTTTACAGGTAGCTGGTTGACTACAGCTGCTGCAGAACACCGGTTCTAATATGTGTTTTATCAGAATGTCTTGGGCATTTCCATAATTTCTTCTACAAATCATCAGCCAGTTTGTTCCTTTGTTGATATGTATTATTGCATGCAGTATAAGAATGTATTGACTCCTCTTTCTTAATTCACAGTGGTCATTTGAAATATGTACAGATCTGGAGACTAGTATCCTGTAGATGTTTATGTTAAGCTGGAAATAGCACCATAGCTGTCTTGAGGCGTACTATTTCATCAGCTAAGGCAAAGTACCTGAACTTTAGCAGAGCTTTTGATGCCGTCTCTCACAGTATCCCTCTGGATAAAATGTCCAGCATACAGCTAGACAAGTCCATAATACATTGGGTGAGCAATTAGCTGATGGGTTGGGCTCAAAGAGTTACAGTAAATGAGGTTACATTGGTCTGTGGCCAGTCATCAGGGGGTTCCCCAGGGCTCAATTTTAGAGCCAGTGCTCTTTAATGTTTTTATAAAGGATCTGTGTGCAGGAATCAAATATACATTAAGTAAGTTTGCTGATGATACTACATTAGGAGGAGTTGTGGACTCCCTTGACGGTAAAGAGGCCTCACAGAGAGATCTGGATAAACTAGAGAGCTGGGCAATCACCAGCCGTGTAAAATTTAACAAGAGCAAATGCCAGATCCTCCACCTGAAACAGGGTAATCCTGGTTATATGTACAAATTGGAGTATGAGAGGCTGGAGAGCAGCCCTGCTAAAAGACATCTAGGGGGTTGGGTTGATGGCAAGTTGAACATGCGTCAACACCATGTCATGGCAGCTGAAAGGGCCAGCCATGTCCTGGGGTGCATCAAGCACAGCATAGCCAACCAGTCGAGGGGTGGTGATTGTCCCACTCTACACCGCAGTGGTGTGGCCTCACCTCGAGTCCTATGTGCATTTCGGTGCCTCAGTATAAGAAGGACATCAAACTAGAGTGTGTCTAGAGGAGGGTGACCGAGATAGTGAAAGGCTTTGAGGGCAAGACTTACAAGGAGCAGCTGTGGCAACTTGGTTTGTTCAGCTTGGGGAAGAGAGGTGACCCCATCGTAGTCTACAACTTCCTCAAGGATGGCAGCAGAGGAGGAGGTGCTGATCTCCTCTCTCTGGTGACCAGCAATAGGACACGAGGACATGGAATGAAGCTGCATCAGGGGAGGTTCAGAATTGGACATTAGGAAAAGGTTCTTTGCTGAGAGGATCATCGGTCCCTGGAACAGGCTCCCCAGCTCATGGCACCAAGCCTGTCGAAGTTGCAGGAGCATCTAGACAATGCTTTTACAGAATCACAGAATTGATTTGGTTGGAAGAGACCTTTGGGATCATCGAGTCCAATCTTTGCCGTAACACCACTATGTCAACTAGATGATGGCATGAAGTGCCATGTCCAGTCTTTTCTTAAAGACCTCCAGGGAGGTCTCTTAGTTATATGGTTTGGTTTTAGGTAGTCCTGGGAGGAGCAGGGAGTGGGATTTGATGATCCTTATGGATCCCTTGCAACTTGAGATATTCTGTGATTCTATGATGAGTACCTGGGAAGAGAATCTAAATCTATGAGGTTTTTAATCAGATTAAATAAATTTTGCTAACCACTTAGAAAAATAATCTGAAGTTATGTTTTACTATTGAATTAGTTCATCAAGTCTCATAATGATTAGTTATATTTGGTTGATCTAGAGCACAAGCCTAGCATGTCTTAACCACAAAGATAACATTTTCACCCTCAATTTAATTTTGTATATTTTGGCATTATGTGGGGTTTTAACAACTTGGGTGGAAAAATCTCCAGTTGAAAAGTACATAATGCTTTGTTTGAAATATTTTTGGTTCTTCGGAAAATGAAGCTACAATTAAAAGTTGAAGATTTTGCATCTCAGCTAAACTGCTGGTATCTTGTTCAAAATACTGTATTGTCTGATCAGTGTTCTTTAGCCACTCCTGTGGCATATTTCCTTATTGTGCTATCTTTTAGGGGAGGGTGGCGGGGTCAGTTTTCTATAGCCCAGCATTTTCTCCTTAAACAGCTGGTCTGAATTTGTTTGGGAGAAAATATTCCACTTATTACTGTCACTTTTTATCACACCTAGAGTTCCTAAGAAAGCTGACTATACTTACACAAGTTTGCAATAAAATAAAGTGTGAACGTACTGAGACAATTTCAGTTAAGTGTCAGCTGTAAATTGGTGTATTCTCAAAGGCTTTTTTCTTTTCCTAGCTAATAAATTGATTACACGAGAAGGGCCTTCCTTTCTGCAGATGCGAATAAAACATTTGATGAAGTCAAACTGCATCCCACAAGCTACTTTCTTGTCAAAATTGTGTGCAGATTCTCCAGAAATTGCAAATGTTTCATCTTTTCGCCAAGCCTACATCACATGTGTGTGTTCTATGCTGCCTAATGAAGACTCCATTAAGGAGGTTAGTAATCCATAGTCCCTTTTTAATGTATATTTATCAAGTATTTTAGAATTTATTTCTGCAATACTAAGAACTGAAGCTGAAGAGTGAAACTGTTGCAGCAGAGTTCCAAAAGAGAATGATCCATTCCAGACTGCAGCAGTAAAGAACATTTGTGTTATCTGCCGGTGTAGATAAGTATGTGTTATATGCTTGCATTCGAGGATAGGTGTGTTTGAAAGCTTAAAATAAAGCTTGTGACTTCAATTCCCCTTGTAATCAGAATATAATTGGAAAGCTGTCTTTTCTGACTTGAATACTAGTAGTAGAACAGTTACTTCTCTTCTCATTGTTCTGATCAAGGAAAGAAAAGTTTAAAAAAAAAAAAAAACAAACACAAAAAAAATAAACAAACAAAAACCCCTTTGGAGTTGTTCCAGAGCTCTAAACTTGTTTTTAGTAGTCTTCCTCTTACAGTAACAGTCATAGCAATGATTTGTGTTAACATATTGCAATCAAAACAGCATGCAACTCTTGCCTCTGTTGCCTCTTGATCTCACATGTCTATTACTTTATCAGTCTCAGTGTCCTTGTTAGAGTTGCATGGGATTGGTGTAGTTTTAAATATGACTTGAACATTTTGAGTAAGCCTCTGTGAAACTGGAGGAAGCTTCACATATGAAAAAAGAAATGCAGCTCCAATGTCTGCACTTCCTGAGTGAGTGGCAGACTTCTTTGGACTGTTCTTGTTATACATGTAAAGTATTTTAAAAGCATTCCTTTAAAAATACTTCTTATGAAAAACAAATACTTGTAGATGTAGCCTCAGACAGACTCTGAGCCACATTCCCTTTGGTTTGCTGTACTGTAGGAGCAATGAATGCATTTAACAGGACACCACAGACATGATCTGCGGACTGGAGATGTTGGGGATATATGGCTAACTTGCAACACGTTCTTTGATTGGATTGGCTACTAATGATGGATGGCAGAGAAATCACATTAAATTATGCTCAGTTTTTAGTTTAATTTAAGAGCTGTGAAGTCTAGCTGTATCTGTTTTACCTAGATATTCAGAAAAGTCTTTACTTGCCTGTCGAATATAAAAGCTAGAACACAGCTTGATGAATTGAATCAAATTATGGTAATCACTTAATTAAACCTTTTATGGGAAAATGAGGCCACTAAGCATCAAAGCAGTATCATCTTAAAACAGTATCATATATTGACTTAACTGGACCTGTAGCCAACACTGTGAAAAGTGTAAAGTCAGTGGTGTTACAGTGCCAGAAAGTTGAGGTAAATAATTGGCAACATGAGGATTTGCATGTAATGTTTCTTTGCATGCTTGATCACTGGTATTGTGTAGTTGGTACTCTTTACAGACTTGCTGAAATCTGAGACTTCTGAAATGCTTTTATTTCCACCTTTGTTTTCAGAAGGTGAGAATTGTGTTACATCTGCGTATTACCTATCATCTTCTTAGGTAGACAGTTATCAGGTCTAGTGACAAGTGGGGAAGAGAGATGGGAAAAAGATGAAAGATGAAGAGCTCAAAGAATAGCAGCTGTTGGAGAATGAGAGGTGGAAATGACTGAACACCCAGTGGCAGGAATTAACTGTAGTAAAAGAATTGAGGGTTACATGAAATTTGAAATTCAGAATAGGATGGGGTAGATGGAGGAACAAGGCTTAGCTAAGAAAGCAAATGTTACAAAAAAGGTGAATATGAGTGAAGATAGCTTGAGGAGCATTGGAGAGAAATAATTTGTTTTGGAAGATTAGATATTGTATGGTCATCCCTTTCCAGGAACTGGAAGTGATTAGAATGGCTAGGTCAGGCTTGGAATTTAAATTGCTGAGGTCCTAAAAGTTAAGGCTGGTGAACTACTACTATCTATAGGCAATAACATACATATATGCATGTGTGTACATATGTACATGCATATATGTATACACATGTACACATATATATATGTATGTATCTGTGGTTATAACTCGTGTGTATATATACGCTATATATAAAGTTGTCCCTTGCATTTCTGGTACCTTCTGGTACCTTGAATTGATCCTAAGGCACACATGTAACAAATAGTATGACTATGTAATTATTTGTTCACAAGACTCTCATGCTGCTCTCTGAGAAACATAGAAAGTAACAGAACTAAGAACTGCTGTCTGGCTTACTGATTCCAATGTTTGGCTTGAATTTGCCAATTTTATTGAACCAGTTAAAAACGCTAATTAAAGAGGTTCTACATGGTAGTTAACAAGTAGTTAGTAACACACTTTAATATTGCAAAAAGCCTGAAGCCCCACATCTTCCGTAATCTAAGATGGCTTTCTCTGTAAAGCAAGTGCCAGCCACATGTAGCAATAAAACAGGATTTTCAAATGAAACAACCAGTAAAAATGAAAGCCCAATTGGTTGTTTTCATCATAACTTCTCATCTCTGTAGAATGTCAGTGTAATTTGCTAGGTTGTATTTGAGCTCCATACAGCCATTTTTATCATCAAAGTTGATGGTTTTTTGGGGGTTTTTTTTGGGTTTTTTTGTTGTTTTTTTTTTTTTATTATTTGGACTTTCTTTGGGAAAGACCATTCAAAAATCTGAGAGTAAAGCACTGGAAGTCTGAATTTAAGCAAATGCACATTATCCCATTCATAAAAAATTCAATTTAAAAGCTTAGGAGCAGTCATCTTTTGGATGTCCTCTCCAGACACTGCCTATAGAATAAGGAATTGGTTTTGGGTTGTATGTTTAAAAGAGCAAGAGGGAAAGACAATGAAGCTTGTTAAAACATTGAGGAAGGATAGTTGCTTATCACGACTTTGCTTGCAAAAATACTTTTAGTTAAAGTTTTGTTTCCGTTGTCAAGTTAAATGAAATAGTCTCTTCCCTCTGTAATTTCCAATTTGATTGGAAGATTATAAGAACTTAACCTGTCTCCCTTGCCTTGCAAACTCTGTATGCTTAGTGAAATACTTTTGATGTAAAACATGTTATTTTATTAAATTATGAAGCACCGCTCCCAAATGCTTGCAACTGTAGCAGCATTATTTAATGTAAATAACGTAATATGCTGCAAAAGAGTAGCCTGTATTTGCAGACTCAAGAGTATGTTGTCCCAACTCAGCTAGGGGAAATCTACAGTCTCTGAGCTGAAATCAAATTACTTTTAGGTGGTTCATGGTATATCTCTAGCTCCTGAAAGGGTGGCAAGTCTCCCTAGATAAGCAGGTTGAGTGCCCCTTTTTTAAGGAGTATTAACATGATGTCCTATGAAAAAATTGGTAGAAGGCTTAGGTTAATGATAGGAAATTTTTGTGATGACGTAAGAAATGAAATATATTTGTAATGTTAAAATTTTTTCTTCAAACTAACATGACATGGAAAACGAAGACAAGATAAATCTTACATGGTTGTATGTTCCGTGGAATAACTTTGAGGCGTAAACTGGCATCCTTCTTGTTAATGGAATGGGGGGAGGGTGACAGCATTTTTCAACAATTCTAATTTAAAATATCTTAGTACTGTTCATTCTGTAGTCTCTGAACTTTCGTTCAGCTGTTGATTGTCTTGGGTTTCTAACAGAATAACAGAAGCACTGGTCAGTATTCCAGGTTTAGTAAAGACACTTTCATTTAGTAAGTGTCTGGTTTGTCACTTAAGTGACTGACTGGATATTGTTGGATGATTTCAAGCTGTGCATTTGGACTTTTTGTCTTAAATATTATTTTTAAAAAAACAAACAAGGTCTGAATTAGATGGATCATTGACGAACTCTGAAATAAACAGGACTTGAAAACAAATTGCCTTGTTGCTTACTCAGTAGTTAATGTCCTAAATATGAGTGAGTTTGGCAAAAAATAATCAAATTTATATGGGAGAAGGAGAGTAAATCCAATGTGCTGTGTGACCATAGGCTGCTCCAAGCCCCACAGACATGCCTTTTGCTGGAGCTGATGTTTGTGCTGTTCCTGCTGTTCCAGTGCACAGCAGAAGTTCCAGGTCTTGTTATAATGTGAGTCTGAGTGAGGAGTAACTGATGGCTATTAAAAATGTGGGGTTTATCATCCTCTAGCCTAAGAAACCCTAGTAAGTAGGTTTTAAGTTTGTAGTTTTTAGAACAGTGGTAGCATTGTTCAGTGATTGTTCCTTTAATGGAACTGGGAAATTGCGCATGGTCTCTGTCAAGTGATGCCTGGCCAAGTAGATCACAGATATTGTCTTTAGATATGTCTTCAGAATGTCTTCACAGCCATTGTCTTCAGATTTGTGGAGGAAACATACCCCATATTTACATGCACTGGCAGTTTTTGGTTTTCCAAAAACCAAGACCTGGAAGATCAGGCTTGTATCAAACCACTACCGGCAGCCTCTTACACTATTTTAGAATGTTTGCTGCAGTATTGAGATGGCAGTGTATAATTGTGGAAATGATCAAAGACAAAAATTTGGGTCACTTAGCTTTGTTTTTCTAATTTGCTTTATAAAATGTGCTGATGGAGATTATAATCTATAAAGAATAGGAATAACTGAGTAGAGAGGGGTGGTGGAATACTGTGAGAATACTGGAGTTGGCCAGCTATCGGACATGTATTCAACTAGACTGCCCACACAAGCTGAAAGCCTGAAAGTACCGAAGGTACATGGGAACATAAGAAAGGTACTGCTGGCAAAGGATGTTGGAGGGAAATGGTATGCAGCAGTATCTTTCGTGGTTTTTTTTTTTTTTAATCTGTAAGCTGGAACAGCCCTGTTCTCACCTGTGCAGTGTTGAACATCTTCAGAATTTTTTCATGTGGCCATTGGTATGGGCTTGCTTTTCCGTCTTCCCCAACCTGATGGAGGCAGCAGTTGGTTTGCAGATATAATAAGTGCTTATTATCTCTGACATGCAAGGAGCAATGATGTCTGTACCCATAGTTAGCAAAGCATTGTCACTTAAATCAGTTCTTGAGGTTTCGCTGTTGCCAGACAAACACCCCCCCCCCAACATAATCTGCTACATTTTACTCTTTTTCAAATACAAACTGACATATCTGCAAGCACTTGCAGCTTTTGAATTGCTCTAAAAATGTCTGTTGCAAAAGATAAGTCATGGATCTCAAGTTGAACACCAAAAGTCAGTGGACCCTAGAAAATATTGACATTGCTCAATGAACTCATGTCAAGCCTGTATGGAAAACTGGGGTAACATACCTGCTTCTGCTCTTCCTACTGAATGACATGTCTGTGAAAATTAGTTTGGTATGTTTTAACTTCCCTTTGTTCTTTCTATATCATTATTTTTTATGATTAACAAGAGGTTTGAATTGCTTATAGTAGCAATAGCTGATTAAAGTAGGTGTTGCTTGAGTACAGCCTATTCTGTGAAGTAGAATAGATCTGGTGGAAAAAATGTATTAAATAGTGTTGTCTTAACAGTAAAAGTACTTCATAATTGCTTTCTGTAGTCTAAAATACCTGGCTTATAACCAAGCTAATGCCCTATTTTGGTATACCTACCTTTAAGTAGGCTTTTCCATAACTTCCGTGGGATTTGTCTATCCTCTAAATACTTCTATTTTTAACATCATGCTTTGGAGTGTGATTGTTCAGAATCGGCCCTTATGGACAAAGAGGACAAGAGACTGGCTTTTTCACATCTCTTGACCTCTTTGGACCTGGGTTTTAATCTTCAAAGGGAAAACAGGGGTGCCTGGAAGTGCAAAGAAGGAATGGGAAGTTTTAGATAGACTGTTGCCTGTATGTAAGTATTTTGCTAAGCTACGCAAAATGGAAGATGGTCCCAAAGAAAACTAATACTGAGAAGGGATCAGAACAAACACATGTGAACTTCTCATGCCATTCTGTAGCTGAAAGTTATGGTATGAACTCTGGATATTAAAAGGAGACATAGTGTTTTGTTCATGTGTATCTGAGACCGTTTCCTTTGATACATTAAACAAGCTGAGACTAAAATGCATTTACTTTTAATTTTCTTTTTTTTCTTTAAGATTGCAAAGGTGGATTGCAAAGAAGTACTGGATATAATATGTAATCTAGAATCTGAGGGACAAGAAAACACTGCATTTATTCTTTGTACAACGTACCTTACTCATCAGCTTCAAACAGCAAATGTGTATTGCTCTTGGTAAGTAATAGGTATTACTGCTACTCCTAACTGTTCCTCACTGGCTTCAATGCAAGAGAATTCAATATGATAGAAAAATATATAGAGAAAATGGATATATCTTTAACTTGAGAAGTACATCAGACTGAAGTACTTTCCAGATGACTTGGGACAAAATAAATAAGGACTCATATTGCTACAGTAATAGAGCAGTTAGTCAGATGAAAGTAAATTTAAAAATGAAACAGCACTCATTGTTGGCATTAGCAATAATGTTTCAACAATGCAGTAGCTCTCTAAGCAGTGCTGGATCAGTGCTGTCTGGGTTGATATTAAACCCCAAAGCTTTGTGGTTCCACAAAGTTTGTTGTCATTTAGTTCTTCCCTCTTGAATACTTAGACCCATGAGAGTTTTATGCCTTTTTTCACTTCTTCCATGGAAATGTAAGTAGTAGCAATGTGCAGTAACTTCACCCCCCTCACCCTCCCGAGACCCTTTTTATATTTTTGTAATTTCTGTAACTCTGAGGATTGTAGTACTAGATGTTTACCAAATTGTGACTATAAAACTTCTCTGCCCTCTTAACTTGCTGGAGATGCAAAACTTTTTGCATCTCTGATTCAGCAGTGGCAAACTGATAGAGCTACAGCAAGGAACCTGTTTTCTGCCCCTCACATAATGAGTTTGTGGTTTTGGCTTTCAAGGCATGGCTAAATTTATAGTTTTCTCCTGTTCAAACACTGATCTGGATAAAGCTTTATATTACCAGACATCTCCAGTTGTCACCGTTTAAGGCTGGGCCGG